AATTAAAAAATTCTATCTTAAGAAATTTTACAAAGAAGTTGCATAAAGATATGCATTTGAATATTTATTGTAACACTGTAGATATAAAACATAAGAAACAACTTCTGGCACACAGCCTTAGGTAGACGGTAGCATTTGGTATGTGATGGGTTGGGAGATATAAGGGAAAATGTTCAGGATACCAACTCATGGCTGCCTCTGGGTAGGAGATCTGGACAATGGCGACTGGGGCACTAGGATAATATGGTACCAACATAAGAAGGACTAGGATGGGATTGGAGAGATGGTTCAGCAGTTAAGAGCACTGGCTGCTCTTGACTTAGTTCCCAGGAACCAGATGGCAGCTAAAAATCATCTGTAACTTCAGTCCCAGGGGATCCAATGCCTCCTTCTGGCTTCTGTGGGCATTGCACACATGGGTGCACTTATATACATGCAGGCAAAACACTCACACATAAAAGTAAATTTTTTTAATGATTAGGAATAAGAGCTACTTTAGTTTAGGATAGGACTTAGCAACAATCTGTGTGTGTGCGCGTGTGTGTGTGCGTCTGTGTGCACATGCACATGTGTGCATGTGTGCAAATCTAGAGGCCAGAGATCAATCGTGGGTACAGCTCCTTAGGCATTGTCCACATTGTTTTTTGTTATTGTTTTTTGTTTTGATTTTAACATTATTGGAAAATTGACACCCAAAGGAGATTATTGTTGTATTGCTTACAAAATCAAATGTAATTATATTGTCTTGGTAAAGTAACTGAACTTAAGGCTTTCTGTGAGAAAACGTAAATGCAGGAAGTTATATAGACCATTAGTGTTGCTTTCTTCTAAATGAACAGCCTTCTGTGAGTCTGGCCTTTCCTCCTGTAGGCTGGAACACCACCATTTAACAATCTACACAAAGAACCACCGCCTGAGCATGGCTGAAAACCATGGTAATCTTGTAGCAACCTGGACATTTTATATCCATGAAAAAAGAATGTGGGCTTTGAACTAGCTATTTCTTTGTATGTTTTCTCTTTTCCTCTTCCAAGGAGGAATGTGGTAAACCTCTAGCCAAAGGCATGGTGACAGCATCTCAAATACTGCAGCTCCAGTCTCTGAGGTCTGTTTGTATTTTTTTTAATATTTATTATTTTTATTTTATGTGTATGAATGCACTGCCTGCATGTATGTGAGTGCACCCGTGTCGTGCAATGCCGTGGAGGTCAGAAGAGGCCTTCGGATTCCCTTGGAACTGGAATTAAGACCAGTTTGCAGCTGCCACGAGGGTGCTGGGAATCGAACCCGGGTCCTCTGCAAGAGCAGTCAGTGCTGTTAACCGCTGAGCCATCTCTCTAGCCCCTCTGTTTTGATTTTTTTGAGACAGGCTCTTCCATATCCCAGACTGGTCTTGAATGTGATATATAGCTCAGGATAAACTTGAACTCCTGCCCCTGCCTCCACTTCTCAAGTGCTGGGATTTTATAAATACGAGTGGTCATGCTCTGCTTTTATTCTATTTTATTGTTTTTTTATACTTTATTATTTTTATTTTATGCGTATGAGTGTACTGCCTGCATGTATGTGAGTGCACCCATGTCATGCAATGCTGTGGAGGTCAGAGAGGGCTTCGGATTCCCCTAGAACTGGAGTTAAGGACAGTTCATAGCCTCCATGTGGGTGCTGAGAATCAAACCCAGGTCCTCTGCAAGAGCACTCAGTGCTCTTAACCACTGAGCCATCTCTCCAGCCCCTTATTTTATTATTTTTTTAATTTATTTTAATTTTGTGTATGAGTATATTGCCTGCTTGTGTATAAGTCCACCTGTGTCATTCAGTGTCCGTAGAGGCCAGAAGAGGGCATTGGATCTCCTAGAGCTGGAGTTACAGATGGTTGTTAGCCACCATGTGGGTGCTGGAAACCAAACCTGGGTCCTCTGCAAGAGCAGCCAGTGCTCTTAACTGCTGAGCCATTTCTCCAGCCCTTATTTTATTTTTTTATCATGGGTTCTGGGGACCAAAGGCAGGTCTCATGCTTGCAAGGACAGTACCTGACTGACAGTTATTGTCCTAGCCTTAGCAGCAACTTTTAACACTTATTCTCATAATTAATTCAGGTGTTATTCCACCGAAATAGTACCACATATTCATCACCTCTTAGAACTGGAATAGAGCTATACTCAATGGAATGAGGCCAGTAGGGGTGAACTATGGCCATGGAAGAAAGGTTTATTTTGGCAAGACAGCTGTTCTTCGGGCAATGCCTACCTGAGGGTTGGGAGGCAGAAGAGTGGTACTAAGCAGCTGGCTGGCCTCATCCCAGTGGGCCTGCAGCATGGCTTGGAGCCGTTCTACCAGTTCCACCCGCTGTTCCTCCAGATGTTGGTTGCTACTCTTCAGGTCACGCACCCGTGCTTGTTCCCGTGCCAGTCTGAAGAAAAGAGGAGAGGGCTTGGGGCTCAGTTGGTAAAGTGTCTGCTGAGAAATCATGAGGACCTGAGTTAGGATCCCCAGTACCCATGCAAAACTGGGGTATAGCCACACATCTATAACCCTAGCACTGGGGGAGGGGAGATAAGTGAGTTCATTGGATAGCTCCAGGTTCAATGAGAGGCCCTGTCTCAAAAAATAAGGTGGGGCTGGAGAGATGACTCAGAAGAGCACTGGCTGCTCTTACAGAGAACTCAGTTTCCATCCCAACACCAACATGGCAGCAAACAACCATCTGTAACTCTACTTCCAGGGGAATATCACTCTCTCTCTCTC